TGACAACTTCCTTTTTCATGGTGAGTCCTTGAAATTGGACGCCACGTCACGGGCACGGCGTTCGACGGAATGTCATAAATGGCACACCTTTTGATCATTAATGTTTTTAGATTGTGCTGACGCCCCTCCAAAATTGATGAAAAGACGAGAAGAGGCTTTCAAGAGGCCTACAGCAACATTAAAGGAGTTGCAGGAATTTCTGACAAGCACTGGCTGTGTACTACATGTGACAACAATCTCCCGTATTCTTCATACGTTTGGGCTATGGGGTAGGGTGGCAAGACGGAAGCCTTTTCTTTCAAAGAAAAACATCCAAGCCCGGCTAAATTTTGCAAAAAATTTTAATATTTAAAGAAAATCAACAGAAAGGCATGAATGAGCAGAGGGACCTGAAAATGGAGTCAGATAAATGAGTTTGATGCAGTTCTCTACTTTGTTGAGTCTGAAGGTCCAGGTTCATACCTGAAGTAGGAGAGGAGGTTTATCTTTGGACCCAGGTCGACTTCTTCATAGACAGCACAGTGCTGGGATGCTCGCAGACTCTGGCTCTGCTGGTCTGTTGGAGCTGGAAACTCGGGCAAACACCACAGTTCTTTTATTCAGTACTGTTGTATGAGTTCAGCTGTTTTTCACTTTTCTGAACTGATGAATTGTCGTGTAGCAGGATACACCACAATCAATGAGCAGTCTTGGGACAGTAGCACTAAAGGTCGGCTTTTGGCGCCTTTGTTCCGTCCTTGGGTCAGTTCTTGGGCTTCCCAATTTAAATGCCGCCGTGGCAACAAGCTGGCTGTAGCACAGCTAATTCAATTTACCGGGATCGAGCATGGACTGAGAGAGGAGATTGTTGCTTTTGGTTGCTTTGTCCGGCTGCGGTTCTAACTGCCGGGAACGTCGTACAGATACCGTGCTCTCCTGGCTAACGGGAGCTATTTAATATCTCCAGGCGCCATTTCGGGACGCGAATGTTTGGTAGAATACCCAGAGTTGACGCGGTTGTTATTGGCTGGGACCCACTTGAACCAACGGGACGTCAGCCAGATCTTAGACCTTTCCCATTTGGTTATTGCATGGCTCTCCCGCTTTGTGGGGTCTGACCAGCGTTATGCAGTAATTAGAGAAGATTTTAGAGATCTGAATGTTGAATTTGAGAGATCTGAATTTGAAAGTACATAAAAAAGTTTGAATTTTTAGTGGGCTCAAATTCAGTTTTCAAACTAAGTAAATACAAAATTCCAAATTATGGCTATTGCAGATCAGTTTGCACATACAATTATTCAAAAGTTGGGCATTCAGATTTCAGTTGCTAAATGGATTCAAATTCAGTTTCTGCTGACACAGGAATATCAGCCATTATGGAAGCACTCTTATTGTGCGAGGCAGGTTGATCCTAAAGAGTTAAATATGGAGCTTAATCCCGATCAGACACATGTTGAAGGGCATGCATGATGGATGTTTGTCACAGGAGCGCATTGGAGAGCATGAAATAGGTAGGGGTAACTCAGGATGTTACCTATGATACTAGATCTGATCTAGTCCTCGAAGTATAATAACACACGTCGACCGAATTTTTATAACTCATAAATGGTAATGATATCTTATAGAAACTGGTCAGTGGTTGTTTCTTTCTTACTGGTGAGTCTGGAGTGGTC